TGAATGTCATATGTATTTATATTTAATCAACAGTCTCAACAATAAGTTTCAAGCTTCTAGCTTCAAAAATGTCGAATTTACATAAAAATTTGCATCCCCTATTTTATTTTACCCCCTTAAGGGTATTTTTTTACAAACAATGAATGTCATATGTATTTATATTTAATCAACAGTCTCAACAATAAGTTTCAAGCTTCTAGCTTCAAAAATGTCGAATTTACATAAAAATTTGCATCCCCTATTTTATTTTACCCCCTTAAGGGTAATTTTTTACAAACATTGAATGTCATTTTTATTTATATTTAATCAACAGTCTCAAAAATAAGTTTCAAGCTTCTAGCTTCAAAAATGACGATTCTTCCATACAATCTTTCATCCCCCCTTTTAACCCCTTACAACCCTTTTTTCGCATTAAAAAGTAGCCTATGTCCGTTCTCAGGGTCTAGACTATCTGTATATCAAATTTCATTCAAATCGGTTCAGTAGTTTTGGCGTGAAAGCGAGACAGACAGACAGAGTTACTTTCACATTTATAATATTAGTTTTTGTCGCAGCACAAAAATATATTTTTATCGTTTCCGTACAAATAATAATTTTACAGTATTAATCTACTATTATTTAATCTACAAACCAACATTTTGGTTCTTACAATCAGCTAAATAATTTAAATAGTTCCATAATATATGGCACAATGAAAAGGTCATTTATTTTATAAAAAAGACAGTTAGTTTTTATTTTAGTGAAAAATAAGAAAATTCTATTTTGATACAACAACCATATATTTATTAATACCTATACTTTATTAATTTTGTGTTAATGCTTTTTAAATAAACACCCACACATTATTTCTGTATAACCTACAAAAATGGGTAAATAATTTAATTTCGGATAGTGCCACACCACAACATTCTTTAAAAAATGTAAATAATAAAATTTGAAGAAAAATGTGATTGTTATTAAGTTTTTTTTTTAAGTTGTTCAGAACAGGGAAACAACGTTTGACATTTATTATTATTTAACATTGGACATTGACTTTAATTTTTGTAATTTATATTGTAAAACTTTAAGTTGGGCTAAACTGGGCTTGTATCCAGAGCCGTAAAACAAATTAATAAAAAAAATCGCCAAATTTGTCTCGCAATCGGCCAATTTCAGGTTTAAAGAAAAAACACATACACACGATATACGATTTTATCATAAAAAAGTGTCAAAAAACAATATTTTCACTAAACGTCAACGTCATGTTTCCGGCAAGATCTTTCGTTTTACATTATGTTATCTGTGGTTTTGTTCTCTGTGATGGATACCTTATTGGCGCAAACGCACGCGATGAGTTGATTGGTTGTTAGCTAGTGAAATGAAAAGATGGCGAATGGCGCAAACGCACGCGATGTGTTGATTGGTTGTTAGCTAGTGAAATGAAAAGATGACGAATAAGGATTCAACAGCATAAAGATAACCTTGTATTTCCATTTTGAACCCCTTACAACCCTTTTTACGCATTAAAAAGTAGCCTATGTCCTTCCTCGGCGTCTAGACTATCTGCGTACTAAATTTCATTTAAATCGGTTCAGTAGTTTTGGCGTGAAAGCGAGACAGACAGACAGACAGACAGACAGACAGACAGAGTTACTTTCGCATTTATAATATTAGTAAGGATAATAATAGAGTAGTTTTTTTATTCTACGTAGGAGGCAAAAGCATTTGCCTATCTGATGGTAGACAGTTACCATAGCCTATGGACGCCTGAAATACCAGGGGTGACCGTGAACGACGTCGTCGCCTCTCATCTACTCTTTTAAACCAGTGGTGTGACTGCGACCTGAGCTGTGCCAACCCTTAAAAAACTTTAGTAGTAGTATTAACATCTTGTACTTATTTGCGAATAAATTGGTAATAGTTCTTTGGCACTGAATAACATTAATTTTATAAATTAATGGAGTAAGTTGTTAATGTATTACCCAAAAAGAAAAGAAATAAATTATTATTATTATTTCAGAGACTTACGGCATCCAAACTAATTTAGATAATATAGATCTGTTAGTTTGTTACCTTTTCACAACAGAACAACTGAACAGGTATTAATGAAATTTGATATGAAGATAGACTATATTATGAGGGCAGACATAAACTATCTTTTATCACAACAAATTATTTGGTAGGAGTGAAATCGAGTATTGAAATTTATAGAGACGAAGTTGCGGTTAACAACTAGGTTATTTTTGTAGACATACAAAACTTGCGCAATAATTTCTCGAAATCTCGACATCGAATATCTGTGGTGCTGGTATCATCATCTGCTTGTTTCTTATCCCATTTATTTGTGGTTGGCATAATATGTTTTTCTCCTCCATTCATCCCTGTACGCAGTCATCTACTGTATTTACAGGTATTTACTCCCATCCTTACCATATCATCCTTCACACAGTTCCATCTCTTTTTCGGTCTTCCTCTACCCTTATAACCATCCACATACACCTTCCTTATCACCGTGGTGCTGGTAATTCCTGTGTATAGGTAATGGTTACCGTCAGATGGTCAGTCAGCACGTATAACTTACCAGTTATATAAAAAAAACGTATTGACGTATTGATTGACATATCTTCGGTAATTGACTGACTGACTGACATTTACTATTTCAATCGAGTAAAAAGAAAATATTTTTTTACAAGTTATGAACGCGGCCTAATCCAAATTAAAGGCGAAGGGCCATCCGCCTTTTCCGATTCCGACGGGGACTCATTTACCTAAAATTGCTCCCAATTTATTAGGATTCCCAGAATAATTCCATCTCGGTCGGGGACAATTTATAAACGGAATGCCACGGGACAACTCTTTTTGTTCCCAACTCTTTTGATTGTGAAGGGTATTTTTTTATCATTATTATTTTCTTTGGAGCCAGTATTCTTATATACTTATTTAATATCTGTAAAGCCGTTTATGTTTTCTGAGTATTATTTATAAATATACATAAAGATCATGCAATAAAAACAAATAAATATTACGAACTAACAAACGAATTAACTAAACATAACTGTGTTAATTTATATGCGTTCGAAATTGAAGCGAGAGGTACACCAGGAAAATCTCTCTACAATCTTCTAATAATTCAAAATTCAAAAAATCAAAATTCAAAAATTTAAATTTGGATATTCAAAATTCGAATCTTCAAAAATTCAAATTCAAAAATTCTAAATTCTTTATTTAGGTAACACAATTTTACAATTATATTCTACAGTTGTTGAATACTCCTTTTAAGAATGAATGAAGAATGATTCGAAAAGATCTTAGACCATCTAGAAAAGCAGTAAGTTCTATACAAGAATGTGTATCTAAAGATGCACTAGCTGTAGTTACAGTCTATCTCTCTACACCAAGATAGGAATCAGTATCTGCAGTGAAGATCACCAAGTCGTGTTGTTGCCGAAAAGTCGACACAGCTTCCAAACTAGATCTAAAAACTATTCATTACCTGATGATGCCTCGCTTAGAGGTGAAACAAATGTCGCTCTATGAGTAGATTCGATAACTGTCGGTGTTTGATCACTAGTGGGAAAGGTAACCTAACCTAACGCTTCAGGTAGCAGTATTCCGGTTTTAGAATTAAATTTTTGTGGTCTTACACAAGCTAATAGTGGCGGAATTAAACAATATAAAAATAATACAAATTCATTAAGTAATAATCACCAAATCAATAACTAAATAATAAAAATACTTATGACGTGGTCTGGTGTTTTGAGTAGTCATGCTCACTAAAATGTCCAGACTTGTGGCGGCGTGGTGGGCCGGGTCATTGGGCTCCCTAAAATATGGTCGAGCGCAGTGGTGGCTGACTCATCCGTCATACTCGTGAACGGGTGCTGCTTGTGTGGACTGGTCTGCTCTAATCACTATGACTTATTTTCTCTTATTAATTGTTTAACCAGTTGTTGTATATTGAATGTTTTTTTTCTATTTTATTATTTCATTGAATTAGTGCTTATCGGTGGTTTGTATTCACACACTTAAACTTAAATTGTAAGTAAGAATAAATTATTTAAAAGAGCAACACACAAGTTTCTTGCTTGTTCTTCTTGTGATGAGACAGCATTCCGAATGAGCGGTAGATTAAAAAAAAAAAAAATGTTATGACTATTCAAAAGTGCTTCAATGTAAGTTTATTTGAATAAATGATTTTGTATTCTACTTCCAAGCATATATTTGTTTTATTAAGTTATTTTATACTACATTTAAATTAACAATTATTCATTCAAAACAGAAACATTTGGAATTTTTTTAAATATAAATAAAAATAATAAATATTCGATAACTCATAAGATATGTATTTTTTGTTTAGTATATGTTTAGAGTCGAATTTTGTGGTCTCACTGATGCAAATGGTAGCAGAATTAAATTATATGGTATAAATACAATAAATAATGAAATGAACTTCCGTACAATAAGACTGAATTCAATATAATATTACGACAGAAAAGAGCTAGACACATAATAGCCAAAATAAGGATATAACCTAATATTCAGCTCAGAGAAGATTTGATAATATTTTTTTGTTATATAACCCAAAATTCCAAAAGTTAAATTAAAGTTAAATCTAGATAGTAGCATGGACTGTCACAGGAATTATTGCAGTATATATTTACGAGTAGCTGGATGTGATTTTTTTTATAACACTGGGGACAAACAAGCATGCGGTTCACCTGATGGTAAGTGATTACCGCCGCCTATGAGCACCCGCACCACTAGGGAAATTGCAAGTGCATTGTCAGCCTTTTAAAAAGGAATAAGTTCTTTTCTTGAAGGTTTCAATATTGTATCGTTTCGGAAACACCGTTGCTGGAAGGTGATTCCACAATGAGGTTGTGCGTGGCAAACATTTTCACGAAAACCGTGTGGAGGACCGCCATTTATCCAGATGATCAGGATGGTATATATATATATATATATATATATATATATATATATACATTAATAATTCTTATTTGAACAATGGGTCAGTTTTTCTGTTCGTTTTCGTTCTTCGTTATTGTCGCTTGTACTCCTTCATTTCCATGTCTATATACGCTGATAATATTGGGTCTTTTTCTACGACATGAGTAACGTTGCCGTAAATGCGACCTTTGAAATATGGCAAACTTCTCGGTATATTCTCTACTGGTATACTCATGTTGTACATATGATATTCACCCTAGAACAAAGTAATATTAAAATTATATAAACGTACTATTAACATATTAAGAAACTTGTTTGATTAGGTAATAATAATAAAAAATGCACACTTGATGTTTATTAATGCCACAAAGCAATTAAAGGCAAGTAACAATTTGTAACGCTTCTGTAAAAACATCGCATCGTATTCATGAGTATGATTGTTTGTGTCGGTCTGGGTGTTTTCTATGTATATTATGTATGTATTTGCGAAAAAAAAATTATCTATATATTTGTATCAGTTATCTAGTACCCTGTGTAAGAGAAGAGGCAAGAGCTCCACCGACAAGAACGTAGCTCTTAAATTATGAATGAATGAATGAATCTAGTACCCGTAACACAAGCTTTAGCTTGCTTAACTTGGGTCAAGATGGCACTGTGTTAATTGTCCTGAGATTATTATTATTATTATTATGGCACAGCTTGACACTAAAATTGTTAGTTTTAATTGTGGTGGGCTTGTCAAAACCGTCAAAATGAATATGTTCAAAATTGCTTGCTACTAATATACTATGCAGAAAAAATACGTCACACGTTACACAGATTCATATATAAAAGAAAATTATATAAAAAGTGTGTACAGAATTTTACAAGAATAAATAAAACAACACTAGGGCGCTATGTTCGACGTTCCATTATTTTTTTTTTTATTTAAAAAAAATACTAATGTTTATTAGCAATCAGAAACTAAACTGTAAAAATGAGTTTCATTATGTAATCTAAATGAGAGACATGTTTAACACGAGATTGGCTTTTTATGAATAAAATAACCTGAGTCCACAAAATAATTGCCAGATGATTAATAACTATTACAGATCAGCAAGTAGAGTAAAGCCTGCAATAGACCCATACGAATGAATATTTTAGTTTGATTTCATAAAAACATTCATAACATTCCATAACAAAAATTCACATTACATAAAAAAAAAATTAAAAAAGAGACTTTTCACATCTATATTAATATTATAAAACTGAAGGGTTTGTTTGTTTGAACCAGCTAATCTCAGGAACGGAAAAAAAAATTCGAATAGAATTTTTTTTTTATTGTGTTGGATAGTCCATTTGTCATTGAAGACTTTAAGCTATATGATATTACGCTACGACTAATAGAAGCGAAGCATCAGTGAAAAATATTGCAAAAACGGGGAAAATTATTCGTAATTGAGATCTTCCAAAGATAATCACGATAGTGTTTTTTATAACCACGCGAACGAAATCGCAGGCATAGCTAGTAAAAAATAAGTCTTAGAGCCTTACCGGCGGATGTGGACATGGCTTCTTCAGCCTCCCCTGTCTCATGGTGGATCCAAACATGTTGTCCATACTGATGAAGTTGCACCATCTGCGATGGATTTCAAAAAGGATTCGATAATTTCCATTGCCTATATCCTGGCATAAGTACATGTGCATCTGAAATATACAACCTGATTAGATAACTATAAATTATATTATTACCCGACTTAGGTAGTCATGCGGATTAGTAAATCACTTTATTCCCGATGGTCGCGGGTTCTCGCACCGTGCTGACATTTTATATTTAATGGATGATTATGGAATGGTTCATCCGCCTGCGATAACGGTTTACGCTGGCGGGGCACCAGTGGAGGATGATAGGATGAGGTAAGGATATTGTTTTTTTAAATACATACATATGTAAGGTCGTACAAACATACATAAGTCAAGTCAGTCAGCCCGTTGTGACAAATTCACCAAGAATTTATCACGATGATTTCCAGCAAGAACCGCGTGGAGGTCAACCTGATTTGGTACATTGCTAGCATAAATAATTATTTCACATTACTAATAATTCAAAAATCATTTATTCATGTAGGACATTTTAGCCGCTTATGAACGTCAATGTTTATACATTATAAGTTAATTTTTTTCAGTGTTTTTATATTGTTATTATTTTTTTTTCCAAAAATTCTCATCTATATAATTATTACTAGCTGTACCCGCGACTTCGTCCGCGTAAATAATGAAAAAATATTTAACTCAATTAACACAATATAAGTCAAATAAATAAGTTTCATCATTTTAGCTTAAAAAATGATAAAAAATAAAAATAAATATTTTATCAATAGGCTAAAAAATAAATTTCAAGCTTCTAGCTTTAAACATGACGATACATCTATATGACCTTGGATCTACCCTTTCAATCCTCTTGCAACCCTTTTTCACATTAAAAAGTAACCTATGTCCTTTCTCAGGATCTAGTCTATCTATGTCTGTTTCAAATTTCAATTTAAATCGGTTCAATATTTTTGGCGTGTAAGCGAGACAAACAGACAGACAAAGTTACTTTCACATGTATAATATCAGTAGGGTATTTAATAAACTAACTCTAAAAAGACAAAGAAAAAAGTTTAATCGTTCTAGCTTCCACAACCACACAAACAGCAAATTTCCACAATAACTTTCATTCCCTATTTTATTTTACTACCCCCCCTCCCCCTAAGAGTGAAAATTTTACAAACATTGAATGTCTAAAAATGAGTCTCAAACTTCTAGTTTTAAAAAATGACGATTCTTCCATACAACATACCGTTGCAACCCCCTTACAATCCTTTTTTCACATTCAAAAGTACCCTATATTCTTTGTCCGGGTGTAAACTAACTGTGTACCAAATTTCATTTAAATTTTTATTTTGTTTTGGAGCGTAAGACTGACAGAAAGACAAACAGAGTTACTTTCACAGTTATAACATTAGTGGGGTATTTAAAAATCTACCCCAAAAGAACCAATGAAAATAGTTTCATCGTTCTAGTTTCAAAAATTACGAATTTACATAATAACTATCATCCCCTATTTTATTTTACCACCTTAAGGGTAATTTTTTTACAAACAATGAATGTCATATTTATTTATATTTAATCCACAGCCTCAAAAATAAGTTTCAAGCTTCTAGCTTCAAAAATGACGATTTTACATAAAAACTTGCATCCCCTATTTTATTTTACCCCCTTAAGGGTAATTTTTTACAAACATTGAATGTCATTTTTATTTATATTTAATCAACAGTCTCAACAATAAGTTTCAAGCTTCTAGCTTCAAAAATGACGTGTTTACATAAAAACTTGCATCCCCTATTTTATTTTACCCCCTTAAGGGTATTTTTTACAAACAATGAATGTCATATGTATTTATATTTAATCAACAGTCTCAACAATAAGTTTCAAGCTTCTAGCTTCAAAAATGTCGAATTTACATAAAAATTTGCATCCCCTATTTTATTTTACCCCCTTAAGGGTATTTTTTTACAAACAATGAATGTCATATGTATTTATATTTAATCAACAGTCTCAACAATAAGTTTCAAGCTTCTAGCTTCAAAAATGTCGAATTTACATAAAAATTTGCATCCCCTATTTTATTTTACCCCTTAAGGGTAATTTTTTACAAACATTGAATGTAATTTTTATTTATATTTAATCAACAGCCTCAAAAATAAGTTTCAAGCTTCTAGCTTCACGACGATGACAACAAATGACGATTCTTCCATACAATCTTTCATCCACCCTTTTAACCTCTTACGCCCCTTTTTTCGCATTAAAAAGTAGCCTATGTCCGTTCTCAGGGTCTAGACTATCTGTATATCAAATTTCATTCAAATCGGTTCAGTAGTTTTGGCGTGAAAGCGAGACAGACAGACAGAGTTACTTTCACATTTATAATATTAGTTTTTGTCGCAGCACAAAAATATATTTTTATCGTTTCCGTACAAATAATAATTTTACAGTATTAATCTACTATTATTTAATCTACAAACCAACATTTTGGTTCTTACAATCAGCTAAATAATTTAAATAGTTCCATAATATATGGCACAATGAAAAGGTCATTTATTTTATAAAAAAGACAGTTAGTTTTTATTTTAGTGAAAAATAAGAAAATTCTATTTTGATACAACAACCATATATTTATTAATACCTATACTTTATTAATTTTGTGTTAATGCTTTTTAAATAAACACCCACACATTATTTCTGTATAACCTACAAAAATGGGTAAATAATTTAATTTCGGATAGTGCCACACCACAACATTCTTTAAAAAATGTAAATAATAAAATTTGAAGAAAAATGTGATTGTTATTAAGTTTTTTTTTTAAGTTGTTCAGAACAGGGAAACAACGTTTGACATTTATTATTATTTAACATTGGACATTGACTTTAATTTTTGTAATTTATATTGTAAAACTTTAAGTTGGGCTAAACTGGGCTTGTATCCAGAGCCGTAAAACAAATTAATAAAAAAAATCGCCAAATTTGTCTCGCAATCGGCCAATTTCAGGTTTAAAGAAAAAACACATACACACGATATACGATTTTATCATAAAAAAGTGTCAAAAAACAATATTTTCACTAAACGTCAACGTCATGTTTCCGGCAAGATCTTTCGTTTTACATTATGTTATCTGTGGTTTTGTTCTCTGTGATGGATACCTTATTGGCGCAAACGCACGCGATGAGTTGATTGGTTGTTAGCTAGTGAAATGAAAAGATGGCGAATGGCGCAAACGCACGCGATGTGTTGATTGGTTGTTAGCTAGTGAAATGAAAAGATGACGAATAAGGATTCAACAGCATAAAGATAACCTTGTATTTCCATTTTGAACCCCTTACAACCCTTTTTACGCATTAAAAAGTAGCCTATGTCCTTCCTCGGCGTCTAGACTATCTGCGTACTAAATTTCATTTAAATCGGTTCAGTAGTTTTGGCGTGAAAGCGAGACAGACAGACAGACAGACAGACAGACAGACAGAGTTACTTTCGCATTTATAATATTAGTAAGGAAGTAAGGATTATATTATATTTATTATATATAATTATTATTATATTATATTTATTATATATTATTATATTATTAACAGAATAGACCGCAACACCGGAACTCAATTTTAAAAATTACATAGATTAAGTTCCGGTAGATGATTTACTATACTAAGTATATAATCTAATATAAATAAAATTGTGTCTGTTTGTAATATTGATATAGCCGTTTTTTACTACAGGCATATGAATATAAATACGGTACATACACCAAAATAACATATTTTACAATTTTTGTCTGTCTGTCCGTCTGTTCCGGCTAATCTCTGAAATGGCTAGACTGATTTTGACGAGACTTTTATCATTTAATTATGCATATTTTGCCAATTTTCGCGCATATTTCATGCATATAACAAGCTTTTGATGTTGCATATAATCCCGTCTCTAGTCATGAGTTTTATTCTGTAATTACACTGTTTAATCTGCACCTTATAACTGAAAAACAGGTTACAAAGCAAGCTGCTTAGCGGCTGAAATAGGTGAGCCTAAGGTAATCTACAAAGTCCACGTTTTACTAAGTCTACGTCAATTAGATGTTTATGACTAGTTGACGCTGTGTAATATATTTATCGGTTGTTCAGCGGTTCAGCTCTTTACTTTCGATGGTCGTGCGTTCGATTCCTCGCACGATACAAACATGATCATGGTTGCAACATTGTCGACATATCGAGAACTCAATAAATATAAAATGTGGTAAGATCCCATGATTTTTACTAATCATACGTATAAATAATAACCGTGTCAAATTTAAAATAGTATACAAACATTTATATTGACGATTTGTATTAATCTGGATGTTTTTTATGTATATTATGTATGCATTAAAAAAAAATAGATATAAACATCAGTAGTCTAGTACCCACACAAATTCTGCTTAGCTTGGGACTAAATAGCGGTGAGTGAATTGTTTTGGATTATTATTGTAATTTATACTTACAGTTATATTGTTATCGAAATAAGTCAAGCCTTTAAGATGTAAGTCCACATAATAAAATGGATTTTTTCTGCTGAATCGCCTCGATGTCATATTAAAGTGTGAAAAATAATTAGGGTTGAAATACACAACGTGGGGTCGTTCTGTACTTATGTATCGAACCTGAAAATGATATAATTACAAATAGAAAAACGGATATCCTTGAATATAATTATAATAATAAAAAGTAACTATAATTACTTTTATTTATTTCTTTAATTAAAACAATATAAACTTACAGCTAATTGCCAACACGTTTATATTCTAAAACTATTATACTTAACTATATTAATATTATACTTATTATTATTTTCGTTCATCAATATATGTTTGTTATTTTTTAGTTTTCTCCTGTATGTATATTATTCTACCTGTTCATTTTTCAATCCGTTTCCCTAAGGTTGCCTTGAAAAGATTGCTTTCAGCAATAAGGCCGCCTTATTGTAATTATATATGTCCTTTAATATATTGTTTATGCCTTTTCTTTACTGTGTGTTACAAATAAAGTATATTATATCTATCTATCTATCTATATATACTACTTAAAATATATAATGACAAAAACATTCTTATTTTATTTATTATGGAAGGCAAGGCATGTGTAGCTTACAAAATGCCAGCGTACGAAAACAATAATCAGTTTTTCATTAAATAAATAACAAATATTATTGTTATTACTAATTATTTCATCTTCAATAAGTTTAAATAATTAGTAATAACAATCTGATGTCATAATTATTTGCTAGTTTTTGGTTAGTTTATTAAGAAACGCTTAAGAATTTACTATTTATTCTTTGTATTAAAAAATGTTTTTTACATGTTGATTAAATGCCCTAATAATATATGGTATTGCGATTTTTAACATATTTTATTGAATAACTTAACATTTTGGAATAAAAGTTATATAATATTTTATGGGGTGAGCCACCCTTATGTCTTAAGGATATTAAAAATAGATAACAAATTATTCACTGCTACCGAGTATACATATAAAGTTTCATCAAAATCGGTTCAGTGGTTGAGGATTTCATCGCGGACTAACAACGTGGCAATTTTTTATAGGCCTATAAAACAATTTATAAATTATTAAGAAAATATTACGAAAACCATCACTATTAAATACCTATTAAAATACCAACACTATTAAATACAAACCTTTTCAGCAATATCCAAGTGTAAAAACATAAGAAAAAGAAAAAAATAAATATATAATACATTTTTAGACATTTCGTTCAGTTCAATCCGCCGCACACTAAATAACAAATCTCACGTACAATTATGACACAGCATCCGACGTAATGACATTTGTCGCAGATAAATGAGGAATTTAGATCGAGGTACACTTTATACAAAGTCGTTTCTTTAGGCACCTTTGTCTTACCTATTTTTGAATTTAGAAAATAGGGCAATAAGGAATTTATCCAGTTGAATAACTTTCCCATTTTCCTATTTTCAAAAGGTAAATATTAATTAGCAACTACTATCTATTCCTGACTTAATTTGTTTTACTGACTTTTGAAAATGGGTAAGTTATTCAATTAGAAATTTCTTATTTCTAACTTAATTAGTAGTCACGACTTTTTATAGCACAGGGGATATGCGGCTCACCTGATGGTAACTGATTACCGCCACCCATGAGCACCCGCAAAACCAGGAGAATTGCAAGTGCGTTGTCGGCCTTTTAAAATAAGCTCTTTTCTAGAAGGTTTCAAAATCGTATAGTTTCGGAAATGCTATTGATGGAAGGTGATTCCATAATGCGGTTGTGCGTGGCAAAAAGTTTCTAGAAAACCGCACTGTGGAGGACCGCCATTCATCCAGATGATCAGGATGGTATTTTAGTTTCTGGCGGGTGGTACGGTGGTGAAACTCAGCAGCTGATATTAACCCAAAAACTCCTCCTCAGAAAACTCCCCGTGATATATACGATAGAAAATGCACAGAGATGCAATATTTAGCCGCAGAGCCAATGGGTCGAGTCTGTCATAAAGACGTTGATTACCAATAATTCTGGCTGCTCGGTTCTGAATGCAGTCAAATGGAAGTAGCTGGTATTGTAGTGCTCCTGCTAAGAGATGAGAACGATATTCCATATGCGGCCGGATCTGTATAATTTTTGAAAGTGGAGAAGTTATTCAATTAGTAATTACCTATTTCTGACTTAATTAGTATTTCCGCCTTATGATATTAGGAAGTTTATCAATCAGTAATTTTCTATTTCTAACTAAAATACATTATCATCATCACCATCTGAAAAACATATTACACCGATCACAAACAAATGGGTTAAGGAAGAAGCCTTATCCCATTTATTTGTGATCGGTGTAATATGTTTTTCTCTGCCTATTCATCCCTATTCGCAGTCATTTATTTATTTATTTATTTATTAAAACTTTAATGCACAAATACATAAATAAAGGTACACATGGCGGACTTAACACCTCGAGGCATTTTCTCCCAGTCAACCATTGGGCAAACAGAGATTCATGTTGGCGGTGCATTAACAATTTGAAATTCTAATCTAAAAAAAAATAAAATAATAAGAAGATCACTTTAATATGATTAAATATAAATACATATGCGAATATACTTATAAACTATAATACATAATATGAATAAATAATTATACATATATAAATATAACTACATACACGTACGTACCTACACACATACATACAAATACACATACAATTATAAATTTATACAAATCAACAGGGAAATTCAGATACATAGAGGTGGTTGGGTGGAGGAATAATACTACAAGGATAACAGGAGCCTACACTAGTTCTGGGAAAGGTGTTTGCGTAATTTGGATTTGAATGTGAATTTTGAAGAGCTGGACCTAATGTCAAGGGGTAACTCGTTCCATTGTTTAATGGCCTGTAAAGTGAAAGATTTAGAAATGAAGCTCGTACGATGAGCAGGAACGTGGAGAAGTAAATTCCTAGACGGACGAAGGTTACGAAAAGAGATGTCCCCATGAAAATGAAATTTGGTATTAAGATACTCGGGAGAGTTAGGATCGTATAGTAATGAATAAAGAGTACACAAGAGACGAACAATTCTTCGTTGGCGGATTGGAAGCCAATTAAGCTGAGAGCGGTAAAAAGAGATATGGTCGTATTTACGGAGACCGAAAATAAAACGTATGCAATTATTGAGAAGACGATCCAATTTGTTTAAAAGGTCCTCATTCATGTCCGAGCAGCACACATCTGCATAATCAATAATGGGTAGTACCAGGGACTGAATAAGTAAGATCTTAGTACTGGTAGGAAGGAAATTTTTAAACCGGTATAAATTGCGCAAGGTGTACGTAACTTTACGACTGACCTCATTGACGTGATTATTCCAGCTAAGGGTGGTATCAATCGTGAGGCCAAGGTCTTTGACATGCGTGCAGTAAGGAATAGACATTTTATTAAAAATTATCGGAGGAACAGACGTCAGGTTCGTTTTGCCGAGTTGTCTCGTGCTTCCCAAAATGATTGCTTGGCATTTGCTAGGATTGACAGTCACCCCGAACCTAATCGCCCAGTCCTCAATGTAGGCAAGAGCATCGTTTAACCGACTTACAGCTTCAGATATTCTTTCTACTTCAATTTGATAGTACAGCTGTAAATCGTCTGCGTAAAGATGGTAAGAGCACTTGAGATCATTAGTGAGGAAGTTAATAAAAATAGAAAATAATAACGGAGACAATATACCGCCTTGAGGGACACCAGCGACCAATTCGCACCAGTCAGATAGAGCTTGGTCATAGCGAACAGCCTGCCGGCGACCCTGAATATAAGAACGGAACCAACTAACGGCCGCGGAGGAGACCCCAAGATGAGAGAGTAATGCAAGAAGGACGTCATGGTCGACTGTATTGAAAGCGTTTGAGAAATCAATTAATATAAGGATGGTAACTTTGGAACTTTCCATGCCCTCTCTCACATCTTCAGTCACTTTGAGAAGTGCTGTAGCGGTGCTATGCCCAAGACGGAATCCAGATTGAAAGGGGCTCACAAGTTTGTTTCCAAAAATGAAATTAGAAAGCTGTTTGTGAGCTGCCGCTTCCAGAATTTTAGAGAGGTAGGGCAGAATAGAAATGGGCCGAAAATCCTTGAGAAGTGTGGGAGATGATACCTTAGGAAGTGGAAGGACGAAAGCATTTAACCAGATAGAAGGGAAGGTACTAGAAAGTAAAGAGCAGTTAACAATGTGAGTGATCAAAGGAAGTACATGTTCAAGTATGAGAATAATCATGATTCTACTCACATCATCAACACCAACACAGTTGGATTTGATGGATGATATAATCTTACGGATCTCCTCGACGGTCACAGCAGTAAAAGAGAACATATCCGAGCATAAGCTAGGCCAGGAAGCAATTTCCTCCAAAGTGGCTTTTTTGATAGAAGCACTTAGCGGTAAGGGAGAAGAGAAATGTCTATTAAGATCATCTAGTGAAAAGAGTGGGACAGTATCGCTGGTTTGTTTGCACAAACCGAGCGACTTGAGGAACTTCCAAGAATTAGCCGGCGAAGCATTAAGCAAATTCGAATGAATATATTGGCGTTTGGCTGCTCTTACCATGTAATTACACCGATTACGAGCCGTTTTGAATGACGACCAGTTCTCGTCAGTGCGATTCCTCTTAAACTTACAAAACGCCTGATTGCGTCTCTTCATCGCCATGCGAACGCCTCTCGTGATCCAAGGGGCAGGCGGTTTTCTTAGTTTTATACCATGCGATGGAGCATGTTTGATGTAAAGCTGGTGGATGCAAGTGTTGAAGTTGGAGAGCTTCGCATTGACAGTAGGAGCTTCAGTAACACAGTCCCAATTAACCGGTTGAATATCTTTTCCTAGTGCCTCCATATCAATCCTAGCGAAATTGCGTATTTCTTTAATTACGGGTTTACGTTTAACTTTATTCACGTTATAAGTAACATATATTATGTCATGGCGAGATATACCTGGTGCCGGAACTTGACCATGATTGAGAACGAAATCGGGAGAGGAAATATAAATGTGGTCAATCCAACTATCAGGATAGTCTATGTTGGTATGAGTGGGCCCAGTCGGTAACAAAGTTAACCCTACTGAGTTAACAATATGACCTAGTTTACGGGAATTTGCTGTATCACGGATGAGGTCAGTATTAAAATCACCCATGATTATATGGTGAGCGTGCTCGGACATAATGGATTCAAGAATTGTTTCCAATTCCTGAAAGTAATCTAGAGATGGGGGACAATAAATAACACCTAGAACGATTTTGGTCCCCTTGACATACGTACAAATAAATAAAAATTCAGCGTTAGCGGAGATGGGGGAAGAAGCCAGTACTTCGTATTTAAAAGAAGTCCGTAAGTAAATTGCAACACCACCGCCTCGTTTCTCCAAGCGGTCATTACGAATCATAACGAACCCTGGGAGACTGTAATTGGAGGACGGCATAGCTGGTTTGAGCCAACTTTCAGAAATTAAAATAACATCAACATTAATGTTGTAAAGCATGTTAAAAAGTTCACCGTGATGTTGAGGAATGCTTTGGGCATTCAGGTGACAAATATTGAGGCTAAAAGGGAAACGCTGAAATTCGTCATAGAGAAGGGAAGAAAGAGATTCATTTAAAGAAATATTCGGCGACTGGATTGAGGGATTTGAGTCATCTAATGCAGAAAAAAAAGAATCGTCATCAGACATACGAAGTTCTTTTTTTTATAAAAAATAAAAAAAAATAAAAACTATTTGTTGATTGTATAAATCAATAAATAAATATTAATAATACTAAAGTAATATAAAAATAGAAATAAAAAAAATAATATATAAAAATACAACTAATAATATTATTTAGTCTCTGCTAGAGCCCGCCGGCCGTCTGTTAACAATAAAAAAAAAACAAAATACATATATCCAATCAACATGTACAACAATTAGATAGAATTACTAATATTGTACAAAAAATAAAAAAATCTAAGTCAACAATCACTACGTAGAATAATGTTGAGTGAAATCGCGTATAGAAAATGAAAATTAATATTTGACAATCAGAATAAAGTAATCGGAGAAAGTGTCATCTGACAGCTGTCACTTGACACATTACACAGATAATATGCAGATGTAAACATAGAAGTCAAGTTATTATAATACTAATAATTAAAGTAAACGAGTAAAATCACAAATATGAGGGTGAAACTAAAATAAAATTACGCAGTAGTGATTGCTATATAACATTGAAATTGACCGGATAATACTAAATTCCAACTACTTAACACTAATGCTTGACCCGCATACCACGACGAGTTCTTGAGTATCCAGAAACCTTATGGACTCGCTGAGCTGACTGGGAAGCTGGATCCGGCAATTTAGACGATGTGGGCTCGCTGGATTTGGGAATTATAGCGTCCAAATCATCAATGTTGTTAATGCGGCGGTGACCGCCAGACGGATCTTTAGTGTATATATTACCGCTTAACGTCCAAACGTTTCTCATACCTAACCGCTTCCGGGCCTCGAGGAACAATTCCTGCCTCCGTCGAGTCAGGAATTCGGAAACAACAAGCATGGTCCCCTTCAATTTAGTCTTGCTTTTCCAAATTAATGAACTGAGAGCAGGATTAATGGTACGGAATATAATGGGTCTACAACGGCCCTCAATCGCCGTACCTAGGCGATGACAACTAGAAATGTCAGAGGCTTGGACATCGGATAGCTTGAGGTGATCCTTGCAGATAGTGGCAATCACAGAGGCCAAGTCATCGCCACTCTCTGGAACTCCGCCAAGTACTATACTTCCGTCTGTGTCTCATCTCTATTTCATCGGTTGTTTGGATCAAGTATGCTATTTGCTGACGAAGAAGACCCAAGACTTCATGAGTATAGATCTTAAATTCATTAAATTCATTGGACAATTGAACGATTGTGAGTGTATCCGTTGTTTGAGGAGTAATAGCCTGGAGTTTACCTTCAAAACTCGCCATCATCTTAAGAAGTGTGTTCTCCAATGTCTTCTGTGTAGAGGCCAAGTCAGCAAAGTTCGCCATCTCCAAAGAGTTAAGTGTTGTTACAAAAATGAGACTGGCCGGCAGGATTATGCAGATATTTGGTTATTTAATACATGTAAAGATATGCTAACACTTTATATTAATCTTTAGACAATAAACAATGCACTTAAGGTGAGATAATATTATTTTAGTTAATAAAAACAATTAAATTAATATAAAATTTGAAGAGAGATATTTTAAGTGTACAACTACCCGCCGTTTATCATATAAAGTCATCTCGTTATTTACTCCCTTTCTTATCATATCATCTTTCATACAGTCCATCCACATCTTTTTCGGCCTTCCTCTATCCTTATAACCATCCATATTCATATGTAATACCTTCCTTAAAATATTATCTTCATTCCTACGCATTACATGCCCATACCATGATAGACGATCACTCTTCCATCTCTCCGACACCGGCGCCACTTTCATACTTCCACTAATGTATTCATTCCTTATCTTATCCATTCTTGTCACACCACACATCCATCTCAACATTCGCATTTCAGTTGCATGCAGTCGTCTTTCATCATCGCCTTTATGGGCCAGCACTCTGATCCATACAAGACAACAGGCCAGATCTTGGTCTTGTAAATTTTTTCCTTAAGCTTATGGAGAACACGTGAGTCACACGTCTTCGCCGTAACCTGATTGACTTCTAACTAAAATACATTAGAGTGTCACAAATCCGAATTAATTAGAAGCATAGGTATATAGTTTGAATTTTCAAAATATTCAATTTTTTAATAAAATAACAAACTACTTCTCTTATTCCGTAATTACTCTGTGACAATATTCTAATGATGGATAATGTTTGTGTGTTTTTGACATGACTAATAATGTAATTTGTGTTATACGTATCAAACATTAGTATAAAAACAGCTCTACCGTATCGCAATAATTACTATAGGTATAATATTACATTATAATATAAAACTTGGTACCCGACGCATCGGTGCTGCATATATTTTAGATTATAATAATAAATAAATAACCCTGCATAATGATCACAGAGCTATCTAGTCCCACAGTATGCAGAGCTTGTGTTATGGGTACTAGTCAACTGATATAAATATGTAGATATATATTTTTGTAAATACAATACATACAGAAAAAACACCCAGACCGATACAAACAATCATATTCATGAATACAAATGTTTGCACCGTAAAGCGGTATGCCAAAACGCTGGACCTCCGAGGCTGTCAAATTATAGATAGGTATATACTATCTATATCTTAATGGAATTATAGACAGTAATACCATCAAGGCGGCCTCGAAGCTGAATAATAGACGCTCATTTAATTCTAGAGTATGTAATTCAAATTCATGTACGACATTTTAGCCGCTTGTGAACGTCATATTCTTTATATTATAATGTAGAAGTATCTTCTCAATTTATACATCCTCGGAACAGCGAGGACGTTCAGTGAAGCTTGTGAAGATATATGGACGTTTCTGCGCTTCTGGGACGAGCTTGGTTGACGAACTTTAGTTGTCTCTAGTATGCCTAATAGGAGATTAAATGCGGATATCAAAGCCGTACGTATTTTGGATAAGTGAAATGAAACAGACAGACAGATTTTGCTCAAATTTACTCAAATAAAATTTACTTGTTTATCAAAAATATTATTACAATTATAAGGAATTAGATCATTTTGTTTTATTGTTTTTTATATTCTTTCAATTCCATATCTATATATGCACTGAAAATAGGTTCCTTCACTGAATTATGAGTCACGTTACAGTATATGCGGCCTTTGAAATACGGCAAACTTCTGGGAATATTCTCAACTGGTATGCTCATGTTGTACAAACGATAAATGTCCTGAAAGAAATTAAAATATAAATAGAAAAAGATAACAGAGAGTAAGTACGTCGTGGTATAAAAGTTTACTACGAAATATCGTAAGTTCAAATCTGGTTGACACGAAAAGTATTGAACGGGGGGAAAGTTGATTGTTAGTAATGTGGAATTATGACAGCATTACTAGCAATGTACCATGTGAGATTGACCTCCACGCATTTCCCCCTGGAAACCATCCTGATAAATTCCTAGTGAATTTGTCACGATGGGTTAACCAACCTAACCTCATGCTCATTCTATCATTATCCACTGGTACCCCGCCAGCGGGGTGTATATTTTTTTGTGATATAAAAGAGAACCCTTATCAGTTAGGATATAAATATATAACAACCTGTTCCAACATTTATGTAATTATGTGTGTATAAACTGTTATGGTTTTATGTAAATTAATTAATTATGAAATGCCCGTGCGGAGCCGGGAACATCGTCAACCTTACCGGAGGATGGGGGCACGGCTTCTTCAGTTTGCCTTGTCTCATAGCGTTACCAAACATGCCATCCTTAGCGAGAAAAATGCACCACTTCTTATGTATTTCAAATAACAACCGAAAATACCCATTACCAGTGTCTTGGCTTAAGTAGAAATTCATCTGTAATTGTTAGACTTATATTATTATTATTTAATTCAGGCTACTAATAGCCCACATTATAAATACCTTATAGACTAACACACATATGTAATAATAATATAAATCATCTCTGTGCTCACGGCACTGATGACGGCAATCTGCCAAAGTATTACCGATACACCACACCCTTCGGCCAACAGTCGTCCTTCATGATGGTGGGATGATGGGCAGCATGTTGGTGAGGATCCGGACCACAAACGCCTTGAAACCAGCGTTGTGATTAGACTTCAGCTGCGTCAACCTCAATGTCAAGTTGCTCTTGGTTCTTATATAGTCGACATGTTTCTGCTCCTTTATTCACAGCCTTGGTGGTGCAGCTGTTTAGCATATCGCTTTACTATTGATGGTCGCGGGTTTGAATCATCACACAATGCAGTCATTTATGTTTATGAGTATGATTGTTAGTATTAGTTACAATTGGAGGTTGACTTTCCGCGGAACTCTCCTGGAAACTACTACCACTATGATAAATTCCTGGTGAATGTGCCACGATGGATTAACTGACCTGACCTCATACTCATTTTATCATATTCCAATAGTACTCCATCAGCGTAAGTCGTTAGAACAGACGCACCATTCCATTATCATCCATTAAAATTAAAACAATATACACAGCGCCATCTAGTCTCAAGTTAATCCTAAGCTAGCTTATGTGGAATAGACAACTGATATAAATACTTACATACATTTCTTTTTCGTAAATGCATACATAACATACATAGAGAACACCCAGACCGATACAAACAATCATAGTAATGAATACAAATGTTTGTACGGTGTGAGGAATTGAACCCGCGATTATCTCGGCTACAGTCACAAAACCAACGTGGCTGTCGATTGTGTTAGGATGGGTTATAATAGCAATAATTAGTAAATAGGTTCACTTGGGTATCGTGAGAGTTAATGTATTATAGGAGTTGCTTACTATAATATGGAAGGCACTTACTGTAGTATTGTTGTCGACAGTAAACAATATTTTGAAGTGTATATCTACATAATAAAATGGATTTTTCCTGTTAAATCTTCTCGACGTTACATTTATATATTCAAAGAAATTGTCATTCACGTAGGAGATATGGGGCCGTTCTGTACTTATGTATCGGATCTGTAAATATTATATTTATGTGGTCTAGCTAGGTTTAGCAACCTTAGTTTTGATGGTTGCGGGTTCGATTCCGTGCAAGGTCAAAATTTTTGTATTCGTGAGTTCATGATCATGAATAGAAAACTCCCAGATCTTTACAAACAATCATTTGTTTGTAACTATCCGGGTGTTTTCTACGTATCATATGTAGTTAAGAAACAAAGTATCTGTATATATTTATATATGGAAATTGGAATTACCCTTAAATAAATTCAAAACATGTATTAAATCATATTTACTGAGCAAAGCCTATTACTCACTAAACGATTACTTGAATGACGAGCGTGCATGGCAATAGTTGTTTATGTACTGGATTTTCAATTAATGTTAGACATACCTATATAAATATACATTGTAAATAAATTGGCTTTTAAAAAAAAAGTAATTCCAGTCAGTTTTTTTTCCAGTTCTTCTCAATTGGATCTATATACTGAACTAGACGGTAGGGAAAAAATTAAAACTATAATGTGAAAATTTGACGTTCAAAAGCGGCTACAATGTCCTACATCAACAAATGATTTTTGAATTTTGAATTTTATGTTCTCTAGTTGTGTAAAATGTCCTGAGATATTAATATTATTGTATTTTATTTCTGAAATTTATTTTATAAATTAAGTACTCTTTAATATTTTAATGTTATGTGTTCGAATTTGAATGTATATAAATAATACTAGAAAGAGAAAAGGGAATAATCTATAATCATGTTTATAATGATTAAAATATTATTTCCAAATAATAATTTGTTAAAAGTTATTAATATTATAAACTCGAAAGTTTGTGAGTATGGATGGATGTTTGTTACTCTTTCACGCAAAAGCTACTGAGCGGATTTTGATAAAGCTTGTCGTGTCGTGTTCTTTGTCCGCGATGGACTTCTAAACTACTGAACCGATTGCAAATTTATTTTGCACATTGTGTGAAATTTGATGCAACTTGAAAGATAGGATAGCATACATCTAAATTTATTGTCGCATTTTTCGCCTTTAACGATTAAACCGCGGTTTGGTCGCCGAAGAGCCACACTAGGCTTCCAAGCTATATCCGAACACTATTCGGCGCCTGATGATGCTTCGTTCAGAGAAGAAACACGTATTGCAATGGGTGTAGACTCAATAACGGTCAGAATTTGATCGCCATTAGAGAACGTCGGAACTGTAGTCAAGATTCCACACCGAATATTTGTGATGCTAATTGTAGCGGAATTAAACTAAAAAATAATATAATTCCATTAAGTAGTGAAATGGACTTCCGCAAAATAACACCGACTTCGATTAAATATGGTCTGTAGATGTTTGAACCGCAACTTTTTTAGCATTGCGTATAATCTTCCTATATAATGAAATATATCTAGCTCTATATAGTTTTCTTTACATAGAAAATATCGTGCGAGAATCAAACTCGTGACCACTGGAAAGTATAGTGGAATACTAAACCGCTAGACCGTCGAGATCGCTATCACAAACAATATAAATATTTAGCAGACGTACTCTTACAGTTACTTACAGAAGTTACCAATACCTACCCTTTCTGCCAAATTCAAATGAAGCGATATAAACAAAAGAAGGAAAATTATGTACACTACTTTGTTACACATTTCGTTTAGTTCCGTCTGTCTGACACTGATAAATAAAACTCATAGAAAATTGCGCCGACTAATATTGAAAATTATGATTATACGTTGCTGTGAAACTATAAAATCGGATGGTTACAGAAATTTCTAGAATAATTACACGTGTTAGAAATATAAGGCAATATTAATTCTCACAAATGTTACTAGATGGCGTTGATATAAAAGTAAAACTGGTCATCGTTTCGTTTTGTGTAAAATCAGTTGAGGTGATATATGTGAATATTCAAGAATGTTTTACGGTTATATATATATATTATATACGGAATATTCAAGAAAGTGTATCTGTATTTGTGAAGGACAAATAAACCATATATATAGACACAAGTAAAGTGCTTAGTTTATACCCTTAGGAGATAGAGTACCCTTAGGACCTCAAGGTTGTACAACACGAGATTCTTTCAAATGATCCGTTTCATTTTACAATAACTTATATAGAATTAGAAGGAAAAAATGTTTAAATAAATATATATTTATATATAATAATGGAAAAATCGTTAAATGGTGATGAGACGAAAAGTTTTTCTTTGTACGTTAATGTTTTACTTAAAAATGGCTGAAGCAATTAGAATATAATTTTCACAAAATGGGCCAACATATAGCCTAAAGAAAGTTAGAATAATTACCCCCCAAAAGGGGTACCTAAAGTTATTTTCGTTAAAACCATTTCAATAAGCAATACAATTAATACCTACAATTTTATTAAGTTATTAATTAATTGTCAGAGGGATCTTGTGATATAGTTTTAATCATAAAGAATATACCTAATAATACTACCTCTGGATAATCCATAAGGGACGTAGCGTAGGAAGGCTTCCAGCAAGGTGGACCGACGATCTGGTCAAGATAGCTGGAAGGCACTGGCTACGAGCAGCGCAGGATCGATCGTCGTGGAGATGTTTGAGGGAGGCCTATGTCCACCAGTGGACGTCTTCCAGGCTGTGATGATGACGATGATGATGAATCCATAAGTTATCTGCCCCCAAACTGCGTAGAGCTTGCGTTAATAGGTACTGGACAACTGATATAAATACTTTTTGTAAATACATAGTAAACATCCAGACAAACAATCACACTCATGAATTCAAATGTTTGTACCGTGCAGTAATCGAACCCGACTATCGGAAGTAAAGCGTGCTTAATTCAAATTCCATATATATGTAGTCATATTATTTCCATATATATATTTGACGACCTCGGTGGTATAGCGGTCTAGCACACCGCTTTACATCCAATGGTCGCGGGTTCGATTCCTCGAACGGCACAAACATTTGTATTCATGAGTATGATTGTTTGTATCGGTCTGGATGTTTTCTATGTATGTATTTTAAAAAATCTATGTATTTGTATCAGTTATCTAGTACACATAGCACGAACTTCAGCTTGCTTAATTTGGGTCTAGATAGCGCTGTGTGAATTGTTCTGAGATTATTATTATTATTATTATATATATATGTACAACATGTAATTATTAGTGGAAATGGGATTGTTAGTAATGTGGATTAATGATCTTATTGCTAGCAATGTACCATGTTAGGTTGGCCTCCACGCGGTTCCTCATGGAAACCATCGCGATAAATTCTTGGTGAATTTGTCACGATGGGCTAACTGACCTGATCTCATGCTAATCTTATCATCCTCCACTGGTGTCCCGCGTAAACCGTTAGCGCATGCGGATGCATCATTACATTATCAACCATAAAAATCATGTAATTATAGCAAATTATCGAAATATCTTAATTTATATTTTTACTGTTACAGTAATATAACGAGGTAGGTTGTAATAGGTTGTTATATTATTGGATATGTATTCTTTGTCATGACTAATAATGTAGCATTGAATAAATAATAACTTTATTTGATTTATATATTTCAATTTATACTATATCGTTATGTAAATACGTATGTGTACTGGCCGGAACCTTTGTTTGGGACTGCAAGGTTAACGTGTGATACGGTTAAAAGTTAATAATTTTTCTCATTTTGTTAAGTATCCTTTTGACTATCTACTTTTTATTTTACACTAGCGACCAGCCTAAATACTGGACTAAATATACTTTATTACAACAGAATGACCTTATAAACAACAGCTTTTTTGTCGTTAGACAGTACAAATATGTTTTGTTTAGTGCCGCCGGCCGGGCCGGTACCGCCGCCCCACTATGTCCCTGCATTTTAATTCTATAATATTTTCGGAAATATTAATTTAATTTACGTGCTGTAAATGGCCATATTGATATATATTAAATGGACAATGTATTTAAGGTACTTAATTATCTACACTCTATCTATTGAAAAAAACCGAAATAGAATTTCAATTAATTTGATAAAAATTAATGCTGTATTGCAACCACTTTATAAATAAGTCATTTTTTCTCGTAAAATCTAAAGGATAAAAAATGGTTATTGAGTGGGTTAATAGAGTAACCACTAGCAGGTGGTCACTATCTATACAAGCACATTTGAAAATAATAAGAGCTGTCTTTCTTGTCAATTGTCCTTGGTTCGAATACTCTCCGAACTGACGGTAGTTTCTGATATATCATAAGAGTCCGTAATAGACCTACTTAGATAAAGATATTTCGATTTGATATGATTTGTTTACATTGGTAAGCTATTCCAGTTACACAAATAAAAAAAAATCTACCATTCTACCATTTGGGGTACAAAATAAAACAGCAATGGAGAGAATTTATGCCCAATAAAAGATCTTATGCCTCGTATAAATTTGTTACTAGACATCGAGATGTCCCAGTTTATTTTTTAATCAAACAAAATGGCCGACACGTTGTCGGGGCGGGATCGGAAGGTTTGGGACGAAATTACAAATTAGGCGCCATTTAATTGGGGTTTGATAGGCTGAACGTGAAATATTTGTTACTTTTGTTTTGTTGTTATATACATATATTTGTTAATTTGTTAAGAATATACCTATATTGTATATTGATTTGTAAGAATGGTTGGATGGAGAAGTAAGAATAAATAATATGGACAGCAGTGAAATTAATTACTGCTATTTGGTAGTTTGTATTCATACGGTTTAACTTAAAAATGTAATAAGAAAGAAAGAAAGAAAAATATTTTATTCAGTGTAATGTAAAAAATACAATATAAACAACAAACGAAAAAAAAAGAGCAAATAAAATGTACATATAATTAAACTTAATTTACCATAATTAAAAATAACACAACTTTTTCTTGAAAAAGCAAAACGGTGCGGTGGATTCTTGTGGATTCTTCTTGTGATGAGACAACTTTCCAAATTCATGGTAGTTTTAAAAAATAAATATATTAGATTATTCGAACATGCTTAAATTTAAATTTATTTTAATAT